TCTTTCACAAAGCACGTAACTTGACAAGATATTGAAAAAGTTCAATGTGGATCAGTCCAAGAAGGGGTTCTTGCCTGTATTGCAAGGTGTGAGATTGAGCACGGCTCAATGCCCGACCATAGCAGAAGATATAGAAAAGATGAGTGTCACCCCCTATGCCTCGGCCATAGGGTCTATCATGTATGCCATGCTGTGTACCAGACCTGATGTTAACCTTGCCGTAAGTTTGGTAGGATGGTACCAAAGTAATCCCGACATCGAACACTGGACATCGGTCAAGAATATCCTGAAGTACCTGATGACCCACAAGTATAGGGGATCTATCGTAGTCCTTTCGATAAGTAAGAGTGTCGAACCCAACGAGGAGCAGAAGGAAATGATAAGCGGTTTTCAGCAAGGTATTCTCTACAAGTACTGAAATAAGTGGTAACATATAGTTTTGTGATAAGATAGATTGTAACGAGCAACAAGTAACAAAAGTAAATAAAGTGCAGCAAGGTGGCCCAATCCTTTTGTAGCAAAGGACAAGCCGAAACAAACTCTTATAATAGGAAAAGCACTCCCGAGGACACATGGGATTATCGTCAAGCTAGTTTTCATCACATTCATATGATTCGCGTTCGATACTTTGATAATTTGATATGTGGGTGGACCGGTGCTTGGGTGCTATTCTTACTTGAACAAGCATCCCACTTATGATTAACCTCTATTGCAAGCATCCGCAACTACAACAAAAGTATTAAGGTAAACCTAACCATAACATGAAACATATGGATCCAAATCAGCCCCTTACGAAGCAACGCATAAACTAGGGTTTAAGCTTCTGTCACTCTAGCAACCCATCATCTACTTATTACTTCCCAATGCCTTCCTCTAGGCCCAAATAATGGTGAAGTGTTATGTAGTCGATGTTCACATAACACCACTAGAGGCTAGACAACATACATCTTATCAAAATATCAAACGAATACCAAATTCACATGACTACTCATAGCAAGACTTCTCCCTTGTCCTCAGGGACGAACATAATTACTCACAAAGCATATTCATGTTCATAATCAGAGGGGTAATAATATGCATATAGGATCTGAACATATGACCTTCCACCAATTAAACCAACTAGCATTAACTACAAGGAGTAATCAACGCTACTAGCAACCTACTAGCACCAATCCCGGACTTTGAGACAAGAATTGGATACAAGAGATGAACTAGGGTTTGGAGATGAGATGGTGCTGGTGAAGATGTTGATGGATATTGCCCTCTCCCGATGAGAGGAGCGTTGGTGATGACAATGGTGATGATTTCCCCCTCCCGGAGGGAAGTATCTCCGGCAGAACAGCTCTGCCGGAGCTCTAGATTGGATCCGCCAAGGTTCCACCTCGTGGCGGCGGAGTCTCGTCCCGAAAAGTTCCCTCTTATTTTTTTTCATCGAAAGACCTCATATAGGAGAAGATGGACGTCAGAGAGCCACCAGGGGGCCCACAAGGTAGGGGCGCGCCCTAGGGGGGGCGCCCCCACCCTCATGAGAAGGGTGTGGGCCCCCTGGCCTTCATCTTTGGCGAGGATTTTTCTTTATTTATTTTAAGACGTTCCGTGGAGTTTCAGGACTTTTGGAGTTGCGCAGAATAGGTCTCTAATATTTTCTCCTTTTCCAGACCAGAATTCCAGCTGCCGGCATTCTCCCTCCTTATGTAAACCTTGTAAAATAAGAGAGAATAGCCATAAGTATTGTGAGATAAAGTGAAATAACAATCCATAATGCAATAAATATCGATATAAAAGCATGATGCAAAATGGACGTATCAGTACCTGAAAAGGACTAAGGACATGTTTCTCGTTTATGGAGGTGACGAAGAGCTCGTCGTAAAGGGTTATGTCGATGCTAGCTTCGACACAGATCTGGATGACTCCAAGTCACAAACCGGATACATGTATATTTTGAATGGTGGGGCAGTCAGCTGGTGCAGTTGCAAGCAAAGCGTCGTAGCGGGATCTACATGTGAAGTGGAGTACATGGCAGCCTCGGAGGCAGCACATGAAGCAATCTGGATGAAGGAGTTCATTACCGACCTAGGAGTTATTCCCAATGCCTCGGGCCCGATGACTCTCTTCTGTGACAACACTGGAGCCATTGCCCTTGCCAAGGAGCCCAGATTTCACAAGAAGACCAGGCATATCAAGCGTCGCTTCAACTCCATTCGTGAAAATGTTCAAAATGGAGACATAGATATTTGTAAAGTGCATACGAACCTAAATGTCGCAGATCCGTTGACTAAACCTCTTCCACGAGCAAAACATGATCAACACCAGAACTCTATGGGTGTTCGATTCATCACAATGTAACTAGATTATTGACTCTAGTGCAAGTGGGAGACTGTTGGAAATATGCCCTAGAGGCAATAATAAAATGGTTATTATTATATTTCCTTGTTCATGATAATTGTCTATTGTTCATGCTATAATTGTGTCATCCGGAAATCGTAATACATGTGTGAATACATAGACCACAAAATGTCCCTAGTGAGCCTCTAGTTGACTAGCTCGATGGTCAATAGATGGTTACGGTTTCCTGGCCATGGGCATTGGATGTCATTGATAACGGGATCACATCATTAGGAGAATGATGTGATGGACAAGATCCAATCCTAAGCATAGCACAAGATCGTGTAGTTCGTCTGCTAAAGCTTTTCTAATGTCAAGTATCTTTTCCTTAGACCATGAGATTGTGCAACTCCCGGATACCGTAGGAATGCTTTGGGTGTGCCAAACATCACAACGTAATTGGGTGGCTATAAAGGTGCATTACGGGTATCTTCGAAAGTATCTGTTGGGTTGGCACAAATCGAGACTGGGATTTGTCACTCCGTATGACGGAAAGGTATCTCTGGGCCCACTCGGTAAGACATCATCGTAATGAGCTCAATGTGACTAAGGGGTTGGTCACGGGATGATGTGTTACGGAACGAGTAAAGAGACTTGCCGTAACGAGATTGAACAAGGTATCGATATACCGACGATCGAATCTCGGGCAAGTGCTATACCGGTAGACAAAGGGACTCGTATAAGGGATTGATTGAATCCTTGTCATCGTGGTTCATCCGATGAGATCATCGTGGAACATGTGGGAGCCAACATGGGTATCCAGATATCGCTGTTGGTTATTGACCGGAGAGATGTCTCGGTCATGTCTGCATAGTTCCCGAACCCGTAGGGTCTACACACTTAAGGTTCGGTGACGCTAGGGTTATAGGGAATAGAAGTACGTGGTTACCGAATGTTGTTCGGAGTTCCGGATGAGATCCCGGACGTCACGAGGAGTTCCGGAATGGTCCGGAGGTAAAGATTTATATATGGGAAGTCCTGTTTTGGACACCGCAAGTGTTCGGGGCGTTATCGGTAACGTACTGGGACCACCGAAAGGGTTCGGGGGTCCACCGGGAGGGGCCACCAGCCCCGGAGCCCTGCGTGGGCCAAGTATGGGAAGGGACCAGCCCCTAGGTGGGCTGGTGCGCAGGGAAGGGGAGAAGGGGGAAACCGTAGGCTCAGATGGGCCTAAGGCCCACCTAGGGTGCGCCCCCCTTCTCTCCCCCTCTGGCCGCCCCCTAGATGCATCTAGGGCTGGCCGCACCCCTAGGGGGGAACCCTAGATGGGGGCGCAGCCCCTCCCCTCCCCCTATATATATTGGGGTTTGGGGGCTGCCAGAGACACGAGTCTCCCTCTCTCTTGGCGCAACCCTACCCCTCTCCCTCCTCGTCTCTCGCAGTGCTTGACGAAGCCCTGCTGGAGTGCCACGCTCCACCACCACCACCACCACGCCGTCGTGCTGCTGCTGGACGGAGTCTTCCCCAACCTCTCCCTCTCCCCTTGCTGGATGAAGGCACGAGAGACGTCACCGGGCTACACGTGGGTTGAACGCGGAGGCACCGTTGTTCGGTGCTTAGATCGGATTTGGCCGCGATCTGAATCGCTTCATGTATGACTTCTTCATCCGCGTTCTTATAACGCTTCCGTTTTGCGATCTTCAAGGTACACTCCCCTCTCTCTCGTTGCTAGTCTCTCCATAGATTGATCTTGGTGATGCGTAGAAATTTTTTAATTTCTGCAACGATCCCCAACACTTACCACCCGAGGAAGCCACTTGGTAAGCTGCAATATTTATTCAGAAAGTTTTTCCTCAATTCAAAACCTCGAGGACATGTTTGTTCTTGATCGGGGGAGTTGTCACGACCCAACGACACTCTATCTGAAGATGTTGCTGCTATAGTTTATATTCAGTTAAGTTCGAATGAAGAGATGAGCGTGGGAAGACTCCATCGCCGTCCATCTGCCATCGGACGCGTCTCCTTCCCTCGTACCGCTCGTAAGCTAAGATAAAGAAGCATCCGCTGATCGAGTATTGAACGGCTCACGCTAGCGCTCTTATCGTTGTTCACCTTTCCGACAAAGTCTACAGTAGTTCAACCACTCCATTTCTTTTCTTGTGTTTTTTCTCTCGAATTGTAAGGCTATAAAGCCAACCCTCTCGGGCTGGGAGAGCCATCTCTCAATTTCTAGGGTTTCCCCCCTCCGTCGCCAGTGTTCCTGATTGGCTAGTTTTCCTTGTAACAAGCTTGTACTCTCAAATCATTCCTCTGAAAGTGCTAACATATTCTGAGTTAAGTCTGAAATCCTGAATTTAGTTTTTTTTAGTTGAGAATTTCTGAATTTAGTTTTTTTAGCAACTTCTGAATTTAGTTCGTCAGAACACTTGGGTTTGACACCATGCTGGGCCAGGTCCGTTTAGGTGCGTGCCCGGGCCAGCCCGTTGGCAACTATTACGCGTACACATGCCACGAAGGCCCGACTCGTGTCGCCTCCCTCCATCGCTAACGACTTCCGCCGGGTTTATGCTTGCATCGAGCCGGACACGTCGCCTCTGCTCTCCCTTTCGACTGCTCTAGAGTCTAGACCCTTCTCCCCCGCCGCTTCCACCACCGGAGCAGCGCAGGTGGCAGCCATGAACGCGATTCGGTCGGCCCTCGCGAGGGCGCTCTCCGCCCCGAAGCCCCGGCCGCCGCTGGCGCGCCACTACGCCGCCGTCGGCGAAACGCAGCCGGAGCGGGTGGCGGCGGAGATGGTCCGCTACGCCCTCGGCGGCGCCGGGCATCAGAGCTCGTCAGGTCCCCCATCCTTCCCTCCATCCCTCCCTTCGCCTCCCCGTAGTACCACTGGGGCTTAGGGTTTGAGGACTCAACCGCTGTTTTGCTGCTGGTGTGCCAGAGAACGCGATGCGGATACTGGAGCAGGGGGCGTCGAACCTGCAGGGCGGCGGCGAGGGCGCCGCCGAGGCCGTGAGCTTGCTCATGCTCGCCATGTCCACGCTGCTATACAGGAGGTATGAAACATTGCAATTACGTCTAGATTTTGGAGTCTGGTGCTTTCATTTTGAGTAGATTTTGGATGCTCCTCCTGTTTGGGTAATTTTACAGTCTGGTATTGTCGCGGCATTTAGGAATGTTCTAGCTATAGCACACTCTGTGAGGGTGAAATTGCCTCCTCCCTTATGGTTTGCCTACTTGCTACATTCTAGTTTGGTTTAGGCATCTTGTGCTGTGCTGGTGCATGAACATAGTGTGGATTATTATGATACACAGATACAGTGTGTATGAAGTTATGAACTGGGCATGTCATACAAACGTTTTAACATATTTGGCTTGCACATGAGAACTGACTAATGGCATTGTTATTCACGGCAATACTACTATCCCATTTAGCATAGCGAGTTTTTACTCCCTTCGCTTAACTGCCCTTCTCACTTGTGTAGATTTGAGTAAAATTATGCTTGTTTTCTCTGTACAGTGGAAGACGCGAAGATGCAATGGAAAAGCTCAAAGCAACCCAGCAAGTCGCTCCTTCTGCAGCTTTCAGAGGTGCTTTACTTTTATAGGTCCTTGTTTTTTTATTAATGGTAGTATTGTGTATTGGGGCAGAATGTGGAATGATAAACTTTTAAAGCAAAGAGCTCTCAAGGCTCACATTTATTTTGTGATTTTAGCAGATAGAAACAGGGAAAGAAATAACTATACATACTCAGAAATACTATCATTTATTATCTGATGGTGCTTTATTTACTTTTTGTCAAAAAGAAGGCATCAACTGACTTGACAAAAAGGAGCAGAACTGTTACAAAACTAAGGAAGCTAATGTGAAAGAACAGTTCGAGAGAGGGGGGAGGGAGGGAGAGATACTAATTCAGTTCATGCTCTTGAATGTCATTTCTGATGCAGTATTTTTATTTAAATGTGTAGTTGCTGCATGGGAAGCACTAATGGGAATTCGCATGGAAGCAAGCCAGGTTTGGCACTGCGAGCAAATATTTATCCTTTTCGTGGCCGTAAATAAAGCTAGCATCATGGTATTTCCTAACACAGGATGTCTCCTCATCGATGTCCCCGAATGATTCAGTTGATTTGTCAATCAAAGAAGAAGAAATCAAATGGTCTGATCAGGACCATCTGAAATTTCGGGTTGATGCAATCAGAGGACTTGCTGCTCTTCTAAATGGAGAGATAGACTCAGGTTATTTTTCATTTTGACTTCCTGCATATCTCTGCTGGAAAATAAGGAGCGGATATTATCCAGAGTGATTTACAGTTGCTCTTTATCAGCCCAGACGCTCTTTGGTGGGCCCAACAGCTGCTATGCTGCAGTAGGCAATAACCAAACAGGTATTGCTGTATATAAAGCATTTGCTCCTTTCCGTATGGCTAGTGCAGACATGGACCTTATTGATGTTCATTACAGAAAATGCTGTCTTTACATATGGTGAATATCTGCACTGTACTGGGGATTTTCCTTTGGCAACACAAATGTATGAAAAGGTTCTTGAGGCAGCAAGCAGAGAAGATATATTTGGAAATCTGTTAGCAGCTGGAAATATGGCTCCTGAGGAGGTTTCTCTGGGTGCCACTTGCTCATACGGCCAGCTTTTATCTCAATCTGGGTAATATTCAGATTCTTCTCTACAGTCATTCTGTGGCTGGTCTTCTTTTCTTCGATTTCTAAGACATGTTCTTTGTTGGTCTTATTATGAAAATATCCATTTTGAAACCAACATCAATATTGTTCGATGAACTACAAAGCAATTATCTTTAGGACGGCAACTTGTCCCTGTTAGGGATCCTATTGACGGCATTCACTCGGTGCTTTTACAGGAAGTTTGATGAGGCAGAGGACTATCTCACAAGAGCACTGCAGAAGGCTGAAGAACAATTCGGTTTGTCACACAAAGCTTGTTAATGAATATGAGAAAATAATGCATCGAAGCATTTGACCTCCGAGTTAACTATTATGTAACCTTGTTATCCATGCAGGTTCAAATCACCCAAAGGTTGGTATGGTATTGACTTGTGTAGCAAGAATGTATAAACTGAAAGCAAAATCTGAAGGTTCTAGTTCAATAATGGTTCAGGAGGTCAGTAAATCATAATTCTTATTTCAGCTTTATGTGTCATAATTTAGAAATTTTGATCTTCATGTTCCCTTGGTCTTAAATTTTGATGATGAGTTAAGGATGAGGCAATTTTTATTCTTCTCAAGTCAGCTCTCATAATATTTATTTGATTTATATATTTATTACTGCTTGGTGGAGTTTGAGTAATTTTTTCTCCTTGCAAATGACCCGTACTTGATGTTTATTAACCAGCTGGCTGATTGCAGGGGCTATACAGGAAGGCTCTAGAAGTATTGAAAGCACCTGCCATCAACTCTGAGGGTAAAACAATGATCTCCTATGGTGTTGTTTCTTGTTAATCCCTTGGGCGGTATTAAGTTTTGTATTAATATTTTTGCAGACACAAGAAGGCAGGTTGATTGGAGAGATATCATTTCCCTTGCTAGAGGTTATACTTTGAATCTTTATTACCTAATCTTCTCTGGAACATTATACCAAAAGGCACTTCTAGTGTATCATTAGAAAAGCAAGTTACTTCATGCAACATCATATATGTCAATTGATTGCCAATTGATATCATAATCAGTTTAAGTTTTCCCTCTATTGGGTCATTCTAGCTTCTGGTTTACAGTTTTAATTTTTTTTTTGCTTGTTTCCTTGCCTCCTGTTTGAATGAGACGATATGGGGTGCCTTGTGCTAAATCTTGTAATGTAACCTAACAATGTGAATCCAAACCTGCCTACCTGTCTGTGTTAGTACAGTAGTTAGTAGGATTGCAACGCGTCGTAAACCCTTGTTTCAGTAACTGGAGCATGGGAAAACATATTTTCTAATCTTTCCCATGAAAACTTTCCTGGAATTGCAGAGTGCCAGTAACCGTTGGTTAGTGTTAGTGTAAGCCTGGAGTCCTGACAAATCCTAGTAACCGCAAACAGTGAATGTAGCCAGCATTATTGAGGCTCTTACAGTGCCCCGTGCTCATGTTCTTGCGTTTGGTTAATATTGAATTTGTTGCTGCCTGTCCAATTTGCAGGCGAGTATGCTGAACTGTTGCTTATCCAGTCGAATAGGAAGGCAGAAGGTGAGCGAATGAAGGAGTGGGCAGAGGATGCCTGGAAGAATCGTAGGTTAACATTAGCCCAAGCGTTGGAGTTTTCAGAAGTATCAAAGCCTACAGTGGTTGATACCCGTATCGGCAGGGTGATATAGCTTCCATGACAGTCTGAGGACACAGGTACTTACTATGCAATAATCAGGGAACGCTACACTAATGTAATATAGGTTCCCCATGGACTGCCTACGCTTTGCATGTGTTTCTGAGCTTTGGTGGAGAGGTACCCTTGCAAATCCAATACATGATCTTTGTCATCTTGCCTGGAAAACCACTCGATTGTTGGCTTGCTCGTTCAAAATAGGCGACAACTCCCATCTGAATCCAACACTTCTAGTACATTGCTTTCACTTCACAAAGCTACGTACACACACAAACTGTACAAGGGCTCTTAGGTGTTGAGACGACACAGAAGAGATGGCTTCAATTCAATCGGTACCCCAAATGGTCACTCCTTCCTCCCGATGCCGTGGGACATGTTGTAGATCCCGCGCCCCTGCGCATCCACGCACAACACACCAAACATCAGCCCAATGCCCAACGAAAAACACAAGAAAAGTGCAGCATCAGTCAAGGTCTCTTCAACTTACGACGAGGAAGATGCTGGAGGCGGCCAGCGCGAGAGGGATGGCGACGGAGGTGACCACGTCGTAGCGCCCCTTGAGGTACGTCGGCCTGTGCACGCTCTGGAAGTACCTCTGCTTCTCCACCACCTTCTCCCTCGGCCGGAACGGCGCCTCCGGCTCCGGCGAGTATGACGGCGCCATGCTACTCAAGGCGGAAGATTGCGAACGAGGGCGAAATGCTCTCTTGCAAGCAGCTGCCGTTAGCAGCGGGTACGCCGAGCGTCAGCGTCCTTTATAGGCGCTGAAGGCCGTCAGGCGTCAGCTGGAAACTCCCAGAATGCACCCAAAAACAGAGCTCCCGATCATTTCCGCCCCTGACTTTTGATGAGTCCTGTCACGACTTTCCAGGCCGTTCAATTCGATCCGCCCGGAACGTTCTGGTTAACAAATATCGTCTGCAGCCTCTGAGAAGAAAACTCTAAGAGGACACACACAGCTTAGCCTGAACAGATTCTTCACCAATAACATGATCAAACACTCTCAAAATTCAAACTTATGCTTGAAATATTTTAGATTTAGATTGGCAAGGGCCGCGTGGACGCGTACCCCCTCTATCACAAATTATGATCAAACACTCACAAACATGAACAAAATTCAAACATATGCTTTGAAATATTTTAGACATCCATTCTCCTATCAGAGGAGATGATGGACCAATGCTCCTCCCAAGTGCAATGGAGGCCACTAATCCAGGCCATGGGTCTTCTTGATCACCCATTGACCCCGTCCAGGTAAGTGCTTTTCTCGGTAGCACCAGGTGCTTCATATATAGCCTCCCCTTGTATGTCTTGCTCTGTTGACGAGCAGTATGGGACTAAAACGTCCAGCGAGATCGATTAGACGCGTTGCCACGTACAGTAGTATATCCTTCATAGCTGCAGGCCCACGGGCTGAAGGCCGTCCGGCACTTGGGCTTTTTGGGCTTAATTAAGGGGATAGGATAGCGTCCAGTCCAAGCAAACGCAGAAAATCAGAATCATATGAGTTAAAAAATAAACGCTAGAAAAAATATGATTTGAAAATAAAATTTAAAAAATATTTTCCGTTCAAATATGTTATAGACTTTTTGGAAACAGAAACAAAAAAAAAAAACTGAGACGCATTTGACCGCTGTAGAAAATCAATCGGATATTGAGGTGAAGAAGGAAGCGCAAGCTTGTGCGGTTTCCGCGCACCTCTGCTCTTCTTGATCCAGCCGTACCCATGGTTAGTTGGGACAGACCCATCAGCACCCAATACAATAGCCTTAGCCAACTAGAGATCCAGCTATCGAAGCAAAGTACTACAAATAAATCCGACCGCCGGCTCATAGCAGCAGATGATACGATCCGGTACGAACCTCAGCAGATGATACGACCACGGGCTCATGGCAGCGGTTTCCGACGGATTACGCCACTGTCGGATAAAAAGAACCCGGCCAATCATGGTCCGGCGGAGGTTTGTGTTTGCTTATCTTTTGCGGCAGGTAAGCTGTAGGCTTCAATCAAAGGCTTTTGTTTTTCAGCCGAGAAATTACAGCGACTGAGAAACCACGTCGCTGTGCACTACGTACTCCACTTGGAAAACTCGCCTTGTAAGACTGACCATCCCTTGCGTTCAAGCCTCCTCCCCTCGGCCCCTCCCCTGCTGGGATTCCATAGCCCCAATGATTAATAACCTGGAATTCTGCCCTAGCTAGTTACCCTGGGAAATTCTCATGGTGAGTGTCTGGCACGACACACTTTGATTGGTTGGTTTCGGAGCTAAGGTGAAGCTGTCAGGGAACGAGCAATTATCCTTCCTTCCTAGGCGAGTAGCCCATTTGGTCTCTGATCTCTATCCGCTCAGAGGAATGGTCTATTTTGCCTCCCTTTTTAAGCCCATGTCCTCCTCCCTCGCCATCATTCATCCCAACAAAGCGTGTCAAACCTCTCCCTCAAGTGTTGTCCCAATACCCACTACCTCTTCTCTCCACCGTCTTCTTCAGCTCTCTCGAGCGGAAGGAAAAGGTCTCATGGAGGGCCTCATCCCGTTCATCTACAGGGCCATGGCGCAGTACAGGAAGGAGGGGCAGGTCTCCCTCGCCGACCTCCTCTTCGACGAGCAGCCGTCCTCGTCGCCCACGGCGGCCTCGGCCTACTTCCGCCTCCCCGGGGACTCCGGCCGGCACCAGCGCGTCTCGGCCGACTCCGGCGCACCGTCGGCGCACCATGGAGCACGGATCGTGGTGACCGATTGTGATTGAAGCGCAGAAAGGCCAATAATAAAGGAAACAGAGCGAAGCAGGTGAAGACTTGCCTAGGTACGTTGTCGAGTACATGCAGATACGATGTCGATTGCTGAGCCTAGCTAAGCTAACACGAGCTTCAGACCTGCAGTTTATGTGTGCTATACATGCATATATTTGTATTTCAGTTCAGCCTGTAACGAGTCGGTGAGTGTCAACTGTAAAAATGGGATGCACAAGCGCAGGACCTCCGAAGGAGGACTGTGAAGAAGATGTATAGTGTCAGAGTCCATACATATACATGGAGTGTAATATGGCAATAAAAGCTTCACCATGTACAAAAAGGTTGTGTACACGCACACATGACTGCTTGCTGCAAGACTGCAAAAGAAGTGACTGTCAAGCATCAAGATTGCTAGTTGCATCCGCGTTCTTCAGTTCAATCGTCCTTTTCAAGGAAGAAGAAGAATTTTCAGTTCGAAATAAGGATAAAAACAACCTTCTGGTTTCACACCCAGAGCAAGAACTACCATTGTTCTCTTGAAACTCACAAGAACAAGAATAACTTTGGTTGAAAAGATGTATGCGGAATCACAAGAACACATGGAAGGTTCTGTGCTACTCTGGTCTCCCATCAGGAAAGGAGTACGCACGAGAACCATAATTAAAGCGCACACGAATATTACAGCAACTAGGATTAGTTTGTTTTTCGTACGCACGGATCAATGCGGACTCGCGGACATCGTCCACATGGCCGAAGCCTTAACACTTGGGCGCCGGGTGGACGCCGAAGGGAAAAACAGGGGTAGGAGCACGTAAATTGGAATTTAAGAAAATTCTAGGCACCTGTGCCCGGACAGATCCATTTGAAATAAGCTTGGAGTACCAAACAAATTTCATCTTTGTTAAATTCAGTTCGATATCCCCGCAAAACCGGAAAAAAATTGGTTTGATATCGAGAGCCAAGCCCACACAAGAAAACCTCTCATCCATGACCTCTCTTTTGTGTCAGGCAATTAAAGCCTTTTGTAGGATGAATGTACCAGAACCGGAACTTGTCATGCTGACATTCCATTCAGATGATCTTAGAGGTGCAGAGTATAGTCAACATGGCGTTGATTAAATTCGTACACAGTTTAATCTGAAATTGCCTGACTTCTTTAACGGTGTTTCAGGTAGAGTTATACAAGAAAATCAGAGCAGTCGGACTATTGAAATGACACCTCTGTCCAGACCAACACCCTTATACTTTGATTCTTTACAACGGAGCTGATAGGTTTTCGGCGTGCCTGAAACTCTACAGATTCTTTGTGTTCAATCACGACACCGCTAAGGGCCTGTTCGGTTGACAGGGAAAATGGAGGGGTTTGGGAGGGATTGGCAGGGATTACACCCTCTACAAGTCAAAACCTCCTTCAATCCACCCCAATCCCCCTATGAGGAGGTGTAACCGAACAAAGCCTAAAGAGAAGCGACACACATCCCCGACTCGGCTAAAACTTTCTAATTGGTCACCAATATTGCATCGCATCATCCCAAAACTACAAGGATAACTGGTACAGCTGCAACGCTAAGACTGTGGTACTATCACCTTAGAGAATGAATATGAAGTGTATCTGGAGACACTATAATGAGAAACCGATTTAGCATCATTATCTGGAGGAAAGCTTCCAGTGAGTAATAATACCTAGGAAATGCCACACTGCGAGAGTTTACAGGTGTCCCAACATTTCCATCTGTTTTGGCAGTGTGGTTTCTGTTGCTTACATATCTGAAAAATCGTCCTATATAAATCCTATGATGAGCGGAAACCTCACTATAAACAGAACTTACACACAGGAGGACTATACACAAAATCAGAAGGATGCCAGGAGCCAAAACATGATGACCGCTGATGTAGCACTTAGTGCCCAGGACAGAAAAGCGAATGCCGTCGCGAGTTGAAATCTCCCACAAGGCAGTTCGTAATATCTTCTGCAGAAAGAAATGTCCCTCTCAAAAAGAACTGTTACACCAGCAGCTGAGCACGATGCAGCAAACGAGAGAATCGCAGTAACCTGCATTGTATAGTTGGGTTTCATTAGTGTTGCTGGAAACACTGAGCAAGGGGTAACACAATGCTGTCCAAATGAAGGGCATAATCATACAATTTGGTAGATAGCTCAATAGACTAAGACTAGGACATGCACAGATCAGATTTTCTTTAATGTCAAATTAGTATGATCATTCAGCTAACGTAGATGCACTATTATATGAAAAAAAAGAACAGAGAGACTATGAATAACTTCAATAATAGGTACAGAAACCAAAATTCAACAAAAAGTACAACACCCTAAATTTTTAGTGTGTAACATAACAATAAAATCCCCTAAACGAGCACTAACCAACAAGGGTGTCATCTGCTGTAGCTTAAATGCCATCCATGTAATATGTGTGCTTGCAGCCGTGCATGTATCTTGAGCGAGACAGAGGGAGGGAACAATTGCACTAGACAGGATGATTAACCTAGTAAAACTATAAGTACAAAACTCTACATTTCTGTAGCATTTCAGCACACAAAATAAGCCTTGAATGATCATTTGATTTTGTTTTTCTCAGATGGTACGTTTCAGAGCTTCTCAAAGAGCACGCTTATCATATATCGAACGTTAGTCCATGACAAACAATGAAGTAGAGCACATTTCAAAAAAGGAAAAAAAAACAGGAGAAAGCAATAAATCAAAGAAGCACACTGCATGAAAAGAGTTCCAAAAGGAATGTTATCATTACCCAGTCTCCAACGACAAATAAGCTCACTAAAACAGCATTGTTGAGATCTCTTTTGACTTTAAGGGCGTATCCATCAAGACATGCAAGTCCCAAGCTCCACAACGCTTGCAATCCCATCGACGCAATCAAATAGCTGAAATTTGAAAGAGACAAGGACAAGGAGCTCATTACAAAACTCAGATGCGTCCTGCAGTAGAAAGTCTATAAGGTTGGCTATAGATGATATGGCACTCTCTTATAGCCAACCGTTGGCTATACTATTAAGAGCATGGTTAATAGTTGGCTATACTATTAAGGTACTAAGTGAGAATGGAAGGTGGGCCATGCTCTAAGCGTTTTTATGTGGATGATTTATGCGGGACTGTTGGGCGTCGTTGCCACAACAGCAGGCCTTGAGAAGCTCAACTACTTGTATGTGGACAGAATTCACCCGTGCAAGAGCCAACTTGCACTAAAATGGACATTCGTTACAAGTGTAAACTTACATACTACTGTACTATTTTCATAAGCACATGTATCACAGGACAGTGATGGTTAACCTCATACTATCTTGTTAGATTCTCTAGCCAACTATCCAATTCTATCTCTAGTTGACTACGCAAAAATTAACAAAGGCCTTGGTGATAAATAAACTGGGAGCATCAATCTACCACACCACCTTCCCCAGAAGAAAGGCCACTGGTAAATGAATCGTCCATCACTCGATGCACAACATTCCATGAGTTGATTCATGTTAAGCGATTAGGGCTGGATCCTAGTAGATGGTGCCCCACCCGGCACCAAACTTCCCAGAGCAAGACGGGACGAGCAGGGCGGGAGGTTTACCAGAAGGCGGTGTAGCCGGCGAAGCCGTAGGCGGAGGCCATGACGGCGATGGAGGCGGCGGCGAGCGCGGCCTGGCCGAGCCGCAGCCAGAGCCCGCCCCACGTCCCGGGCCTCCCCACCAGCTCCCTCATCTCCGCGACCCCCCACCTATCACCTCCCGCCCCGGTCGGCCATGCGCGCGCGTGCGGATGGAGTTGTACTGCTGCTGCCGAATCAGGTCCCGGGCCGGTCGGTGTATGGTGCGGGGGGCGGAGAGGAATCGCGGCTCAGCTGCTGCCGGCGGCTTTGGGCGAGACTTGTTGTCGACGAGGAAAAGGGGATTGGGAAAGGGGGGTGGTGGGAGTGGGGCGCCGGCGCGGTGGGGAGTTGGTGCGGGGGTGACGCGCGCGGGCGGGCGGGCGGGCGGCGGGCCCCGGCGCGGAGAAAAGGGCGGAGAGCGCCCGGGGCCGCGGGGTTGCTTGCGTTGGTGGTTTCTGATCTGGATCCGATCTGATCTCATCGGATGGCCGGGGTGAGCCGACGGAGGCGGGGGTGAGGGGGAGCGATCCTCCTTCATCCACTTTCCGTGCAGCGCTTTAACGTCGCGTCCGTACCAGTTTGGGGTAAATTTTGTACTGGTGCGGTGGTAATAGCGTGGAGCTGGGAATCACGCGTGGTGTGATGTCCACTTCTGTCCCGTGTCTGCAATCAGTGTGCGGAATCGTGCGTGCAGCCATGGCAAAAAATGTTACTATTCGGCAAAGAAAATGGCACATTTGTGTTGAGCAGCTGATGTTGTTTCAAGCGTAAATAAACCTGTAAAGTTTGGGAAATCAAGATTTTCATTTTTTTCAATCATAAAGGAGGGTTGCATTTGTCATAAATTAAGAGAGGATAGACATCACGGTACAAAGAGGCAAGTACAAGAGCGGCAACAAGCGAGGGAGGAGAGAGAAAAGATGGCGGATGTGCCATTTCCCGTCCATGAGAGACAATCAGTTTCGGTGGCGGAGACACGCCCCGGGCCTACAACAGGGGCCTTGGCAGGGGCGATTCTACCGTCCGGTCACCCCGGGCACGTGCCTGGGCTCAAGCGCTGCCAATTTTTCAAGCGCTGGAGTCACAATCTGTAAATACGTATAATATACGCTCAAAATACATCTGGTTCACAAATTGGGCTACTTTGGGCGTCATTTTTGCCTTTTGGGCTTACTCACGTCAAAGGCCCATCCATTAATTTCCTTACATGGGCTAATTAGATCATGCCATCGATCAGGAGGCCGGTGGCTGCATCCCTTGCCCGCCTATTCGTCTGTGCGCCGCGCCGCACGACGTGCCCTAGCAACTCTTGCGGTTGGAGGCGGCGACTGGCGAGGTGGACTGACGGAGCACCGGCGGTCGGCCAGACCGCAAGAGATGATGCACACCTGGGCCTAAGCAGGCTACGACTCCAGCAAGCGACAACCGGGATCGGAAGCGGAAGCGCGAAAGTCAAAGCGGCAGCCCCTTGTGTAAATTCCACTTCGGCTCCGGCAGAGGATGGTGCTCGTATTCATCACCGTTGGCACTTCAATTCAATGAAAATTGTATAATTTGGTAATGTGTTGTATCTTCTAGATTCTCTCCTTTTTTTGCACTTCAATTCAATGGAAATTCAATTATTTGATAATGTGTTGTATCTTGTAGATTCTCATCTGGTCACAAGGATGAACATCGGAGATTGGAATTTTATTTGGTAAATTGTATCTCATGTTTTAATTTATTTATATGATGCATGAAATATTAGTGTGTGTGTGTTACACATGATGTTTACCTAAATACATGATACTTCTAGTGTTGATAGACCAAAGTAAATTTTATCTTGCGTCATGCCCAGGCTTCGACAATTTGCTAGCTCCGCCACTGGGCCTTGGCCTGGGGCGTGTCTACCAATTCCTTTGTTAACCGTTTATACTGTAGCTACTTTGTAGCTACTGTTCATACTGAAGGTGGCCTGGGACGTGTGTTTCTGCTGGCTCCATTACTGCTCGGTTTTAATAATGAACATTTTTTAAAGACCTATTGTTGCATTTGTTTTAAAGGAACCATGCGACCACAACGACCAGAGAGTCGGGCCCTTCCTTTTGTTGCTCAACAATGTTGAAACCGCAACAACCCACCAGTCCTTGAAGATGGAATTCACTAACAGCTAGAGGGGATGGAGGCCAACACACCCTAGGAAAGAAGACTTCTATATCCTGATCGTAAAATTCATTCAATCCTCGTCAGTTGGAAGGCTCACATGCTCACTCATTGGTGGTTGGTTAGTTTTGGTTATGTTTTTTTTGAAACTTCGGCCTCTTTATTAGATCAAATAACCGTTACACCAGCCACCTTACGATAGATGCCGGTGGTTCCTCAACCCACAAACCGGGTGGATTAAAAGCCGCCAGCCTAGCTAGTTCATGGGAGACACGGTTTGCCTCTCTAGGGCAGTGAATGAAAGACACCGAAGTATAACCTACTGATAAGACATTGCAATCTGCATAAATTGCCGTCGCTCCTGTTGCAGTGAAGCCACCCGAGTTCATTGTATCGATCATCTCCGCACAATCCGCCTCCACAACCAGCTTGCTTACTCCCATTTGTTGCGCTAGTAGGAGGCCATGCCTCAATGCATATGCTTCTGTTGATGCTGCATGGGAGACATGCTCCAGCTTGTCGTTGGAGGCTGCTAAAAACCCCCTTTGTCATCCCTAAGCACTGCCCCGACTGCTCCATTCAGATTCTGTGCATAAAATGATGCATCAACGTTGAGCTTCACGAATCCCTCCCTTGGCTTGGTCCATCAGCCCTTCTGTACTCCCATCTCCTTCTTCCTGGCGTTCGTGTAGTTAGCAGCTAGAGCAAAAATTGGCAGCGCCGATCGGGCTGGCGTTTGAACTTCCTCTTCATGGACCTTTTGCCTTCTTTCCCACCACACGTACCACACTCCCACAAGGACTAGGGTCTGTGCACTGACATCCGGAAGTAAACTTCCTCTCCGCGGTGCACATAAAATGTAGTCCAGCACCGATGAACCAGCTCTATCCACCTCGCATGCCTCCTCCACAAACCCATCCAACTTTAAACATCTCCAAATCTCGGTCGCTCTTGGACAAGTAAACAGGACATGCTTTATATCCTCGCATCCTCCTGCACACATTGGACAGTTCGTGGGCATAACTATATGACGATTCGCGAGGACTCCAAAGCATGGCAAAAACCCATGCAACACCTTCCATGCATGTATCTTGACTTTACTCGGCAGTGAAGATTCCCATAATTTTCCCCAAACTGGATATTGCTGTGACGGTTGGCCTTCCGTTCGCTCGAACCAGCGTCCGAACTGATGATCCCACTCAGCGTGATGTGCCGACCTAACCGTGAATATGTTATTCTTTGTGAACCTCCACGCCACAAAATCATCCATCATTCCTGACGGCGCCAGCGGAATAGCAAGAATTCTCTCCGCATCCACCTGCCAGAATGTATTCATGATCAGCTCGTGATCCCGCACTCCTGTCGCCGGGTCGATCAGGTCAGAAACCTTCGACAACAGGTTTGCTCCTCTCGGGGTGACTACACGTCCATCCGCACTCGCTGCTATCCATGGGTCAGACCAAATATTAACTTGTGAACCATCTCCAATCCTCCAAATAGCCCCTCTTTTGAAAGTATGAATACCAGCACATATACTCTTCCATGTGAAGGAACATCCACTCTTCATCTTTGCTTCCAGAAGTTTCCCGTCTGGGTAATATTTTGATCTTAGGACCTGCGCACACAAGGAATCCGGATTCTCCAACAGTCTCCATACTTGCTTGGCAAGCAAAGCGAGATTGAAGCTATGTAGATCCTTAAATCCCATTCCCCCTTTGTTCTTCGGAATACAAAGTTTCCACCATGCCGCCCAATGTGTCCTCTTATGGTTACCGTTGTCACCCCACCAGTATCTTGATATGGCATCCGTCATCCCTTTGCAAACTTTTTTCGGGATATTAAACACCGACATCGCGAAAACTGGCATGGCTTGAGAAATAGCCTTAATGAGCACATCTTTCCCTCCTGTAGATAGCATCTTCTCCTTCCATCCGCTCAACAACTGATTGATCCGGTCAATGAGGTACTCAAAAGCTTTCACTCCTGTCCGCCCCCACCATTACCAGTAGACCCAAGTATCTAACATTCATCGCTTCTGTGAATATACGCAATTTCTGACATATTATTACTTTTTCTTCCACTGCCAAATTCGGGCTAAAGTAGATGCTGGACTTTGCATCACTTACCAACTGCCCCGAGCTCTCAAAATAAGCATCCAAAATATCCCGTAGACAGTCAGCATTGGCCCCATCTGCTCTCATCAGAATTAGTGAGTCGTCCGCGAAGAGTAAATGTGAAATTTATGGTGCATCTCTACAGACTCTCACGCCTACTAGATTCCTGTTGTTCTCTTCCCTTTGTAGCAAACTTGACAAGGCCTCAACACACAATAGAAATAAGTAAGGAGACAAGGGGTCTCCCTGCCTTAGCCCTCTCGATGGATAAAACACGTCCGTATTTGTCCCATTGAAGCAAACATTATATGAAACTGATGACACACAAGCCATAATCAACGAGATCCATCTATTATCAAAACCCAACCGCTCCATCATTCTCTTCAGGAAGCACCATTCCACCCTATCATATGCCTTATGCATATCTAATTTCACCGCACATAGCCCTGACTTGCCTTGCTTTCTCTTTATAGTATGCATGCATTCATACGCAATAAGTATGTTGTCCGTGATCAATCTTCCGGGGACAAAAGCACTCTGCGTCGGGCTGATGATCTCCGGTAAGATTCCTTTCAACCGATTAGCTAGCATCTTCGAGATTGTCTTGTAGGCCACATTACAGAGACTAATCGGTCTGAACTGCGTGATATTAGTCGGAGTTGCCACTTTCAGAATCAACACTATGGTGGTACTGTTCCATCCTTCTGGGATCGTACCTGTGTTTATTGCTTCCTACACTTCTTTCACCAGGTCCTCCTTAATCATATTCCAAAACCGTTTGTAAAAAGCAGCATGTAATCCATCCAGTCCAGGGGCCTTGAAACCTCATATACTGAACAGTGCTCGTCGGACATCTT